TGTATAGTCGGCGGGTACAGGGAGCATCTGTCTCCTGTACCCGGCCGGACTAACAGGAAGTGCACACTGAGTGTGCACTTCCTGTTAGTCCGGCCGGGTACAGGAGACAGCTGCTCTCTGTACCCGCGGACTATCAATGCTACAGTGAGGGAGCTGACAGGAGCGCTCCCTCCTGTCAGCCTCTCCTCAGGCTGCGCCCGGGCGGTGCGGTCCGCCCTCATGGACGCACCGCCCGGGCAAAGCTGCAGCCGCCTGAGCAGCCGCCTGAGGCTCTCTGCAGAGCGCTCGGGCGGCTGCAGCATGGGGGGGGGCGGCGGGGCTGGCCATGGCACCCCCCACCCGGCTGGCACCCGGGGCGGACCGCCCCCCCCGCCCCCCCCTTAGTACGCCACTGCCTCCAGGCTGGCTGGAAGTTGGATCGCTTAGATGTCCTGGTTCCCGATATTAGAGAGGGAAAGCACTGCTCCGAACAGCATACAGCAATAATCCTGTAAATATAGAAATCCCACTAGCTATCAATAGAGCTGGTATAGGACTTTCCCTACAACACGAGTTGAGGGGAACAATAGAAATGGTTTAATGGGTACTCATGCACAGCCTTAAATACATATTTTCAAGCCAGAGGTACAACCCTCTGGACCTGATGGTACACAGGACAATACAATATCAGAGGCAATAGGAACAAAGTGCATTTTACAAAACACCCCCCCCTACCCAGGAGATAATTGTTTTCAAAGGTTACAGTAACTCAATTATCTCCAGGTACATGAAATAACCACGCTTTATTACACAGGAAAACTGAATAAAAAATTAATAACTTTCATATCATGTTACTTAAATATCCCATTCAACCGATCCCCAAACAGCTTGGATCTGATCGCATAAAATATACGAGTAGCGCTCAGATCTCACGAATGGTGTCCTCGGCCATGGGGTCTGGCCAGGGGTTGGTGTAACTCTCGGAGATACAAATTGTTGAACGATATGTCTTTTTTGACTTTATGCCTGAATGGACGGGGCAAGCTGTACCCCAGCGGGATTCGTGCAAACTATTGTCTGAGAATAGTTCCATAGGTTTGACGACCAGGTCCCGCTGAGCGTTCGACAACAAAGATGGCCGTCGCCACGTGTTCGACAGACGAACGACGACCATCCTGTTGAAACCGCAGCTTCAGGGTGGTTAATTGGGGGCACACACCATGTACTGGGTGGTCGGTCATTCGGGAGTTATTTCGTCTTTTTGTTCGGTACCCCGTTCGACCTTTTACATACGAACAGTGACCACCCTGACGACAGTCAATTAGGCTGCAGTTAACCACAAACCGCAGTCCCTGGGTGGTTGATTGGAGGCACACTCCTCAAGTAGGGCGGTTGCCCATTCGTCGGTTGATTCTGTGTTTTAGAGAGGTGAACAGGGTTAATTAACGGCACATGAAAAGGGCCGGGTGGTCGGCCATTCATACGAATGGCCTGTAAGGGTTGTTCAGATACAAGGTAACAAACATGGGCAAAAGTAACTGAGTTGTAGCAGACAAAGGGGGATATCTGTAACAGGGCCATACACCTCAGGGCCATAGTCATAAGGCAGGCTTCTCCAAAAGCCAGTGGCAAAGGGCAGTTTGTCACAATCCCAACCTACAGTCTGCCCTTCTTGACCCGGTCAGCACAGAATTACTGTTCATGAAAGAGTTAACCAATTGGTTCATCGTAGGCCCTTTCTCTTATCCCCTATTTTGCAGCAGGCATACTAACCCAATAGGCATTGCCACTGGGAAGTTCGATAATAAAAAAAGACTAATCTACGATTTGTCCGTTCCACATTCTTTATCTACCCCTAGCATTAATTCACTAATCCTCTCCGAAGTGTTCTCCCACAGTGGATGATGCCATTCATGCCATTCTAAGGGCTGGGGTAGGAGCTTGGTTAGGGAAAACCAATGTTACCAATGCATTCAAGCTCCTACCCATTCATCCATCCCTGTGGCATGTACATGGCATCCGTTGGGAAAATAAGTATTACTTTACTACTCGTTTAACCTTTGGAGCTAAAAGCAGTCCAAAATTGTTTGGATATCTTTGCCGACATATTATGTTTGCTGCTCTTGAACATTGCCAAATGCCCCTAAGTCCTACAGCTGGTTCCCTTATTTACCACTATAACGCCTTGAAGCATAGAACTTAGCAGGGCTAACCCTTCAGATATCATAGCCATAATTGTATATTGTCAGTAAGAGTTCCTCTATTTAATATATAAATAATTGAGAATACAAAATAAAACAAGGATTGTCTTGGAAGCAATAAAGTGTTGTCTTTTAGATATTTTATTAAATTAGAAATATAAGTTGACATATAAAATCCATTACATGGGAACGGGGCCTGACGGCAGAGGACGTGAACCTCAAGAGCTCCTGCACCAATCTATATAAAAATCTAATTTCACGACTCAAAAAACAACTAAACAGGCCACAACAGCCAGCAACCAAAAGGGGACATCAAGCAAAGTAGAATGATACCCCACAAGCGGCACAACAAACTACCTTCACCGGTCAGGCGTTCGAGGCCTACTCACATGGCGAGCGTGGATGGGACGGCTGCTCTCCCACAGCCAAGACTAGTTACCTCGTTGACCAAGGGCCCTTGTCCCCTCCCCCCCACAGACCGGCGTGGGTCATCCCTTCACATACTTCACAGGGCTACAGGATCGCAAGCCACAGAGATCACAAGCCACCCACACCCAGAAGCCAAGATGGCAGCCTCTGACAGGGCCCCTGGGCCTCCAACCGACCAACCTCTACCAGCACAGCAGGCAAGCGAATTCCCCCACGAGGACCGCATAGTGGCAGCCTTCAACCTTTTCTGGACGCCATGGTGGGCCATACTGGCGCAGACCCAAGCAACTACAGGGGTCCCCCCTTATCTGCATGGAGACCGGCTCTGGCACAAGGCAGCAGGGGGCAACGAAGGCTCTGCCCAGACTCACAAATCACACACCGCACACCCGACACTGCCGGCCCGGGTCCTGACAGACTCGGATAGCCTCCAAACACAGTCCGCCACCACCCAAACTAAAACAGCGCAACTCGGGGGGCCGGGACCCGGCCTGCACCAAACGAAGCCGGGAGGGCCTGCCGACGCGTCACCCAGCTGCAGCAACACAAAGCCGCAAACAGCACCTGGAAGGGCTATGCCTCCATACCGTAGGGACATACAGGGACTCAGTCCCGCAAACCAACACGGGGAGCGGAGAAACTGTCGCGTCACCAAGGTAACATCCTCACCATCCACAGTACCCAAGACCGGGAAGCAATGACAGAATCCATCCAGCCTACTTGACCCGCAATGCCGAGGCCCCATGGGACTTTCCAATATGTGCTTTGCCTGTGCCGACCACAGGAGTCGGCTAACTCTCATGGCCGCATGGCGACTAGGACTGCTACCACACCACCATGTCCATGCTGCCAAAGAGGACTCTATCTCACATCACCATTAGCCAGCCTTGCCTCCATGGCCTGAGCTACATTAGCAAACTTAGTTAAGCAAACTCACACGCATGTTTACTGCCCTAGGGAAATGCTATGATACCGCAACACTCATTACAAATGTGCCTGTTAGCAACGTTAAGTCATCAGATGCCAAAAGTTTCACTTGCATATTCAATTCTTGAACGCAGTTAGAATGTTGATTCTACATACATATATACATATTATATATATATATATATATATATATATATATATATATATATATATATATATATATATATATATATATATATATATATATATATATATATAAAATTGTGCCTGCTCAGCAAATGCCACAATGTATAATGCAATTGTTTCTCAATCTACCCTGCAGACTGTTGTGGCGCATCAGGGCTACCTGTTAATTTCTGTGCACAAAAATAAAGAATAAAAAAAAAAATCCATGACACTAATTTATAGCAGAGTTTATAAGATTAAACTATATGCATGCAATATCATTAATAGAATAACATACCCTCCTGAACATGTCATCATGTCAGCCTCTCTGTCATTATAGTATGGAGCGACAGTGTCTCTGTCTCCAAATCTCTTCTCTGTCCGTTAACAGAGAAGAGCATTTCTTCCTTAAATTATACCTTTTTTCATTCTAGGGTTACCGTAGTTTATATATGAAAAAGTCAAACTTCTTTCACTTTTATTCATTTTAGGACCTCCCTTAACTTGGCCATAACTAAAATATAAGGGTGCACACGTCATGGGAAATTCTGTGACTCGGGACAAGATGTCTTTCTAAAGTCTAAACATTTTATCTATTTAGGGTTACCGCAGTATGTTATGTACTGAAAGAGTTCTAGCATAGCCTTGAAGCTTGTTTATGCGTTATTGTTATTGTATTTCATCTGGGACAAAATGGCGTAACATATTATGCACTGAAAATAGGTAAAAGGTTATTGCTTAAAGAAACATGTATGGAAAACTATATGTTCCATTTCAAACACCTTGTCAGTTTGCAATATCTCTTAAAGACAAAGTACACCGTTTAAGAAATACAATATTTGCATTTTGCCCATAACACCCTCTCCATTAAACTGTGGGCATTGTAGAGCATTACTTCCTTAAATTAGTAATCCAAATTTCTCCAATAGTCTTTAGGTTTTTATGCTCCCAGCATATTTGATCATTGTTATAATGGTAAAACATCCATAGTGTGATCTTTGCATGTAAAGGTGGTTCCTTAAAATGAGCAAAGCTTTTGTCTTGGAAACGATAAAAAAGAACAATAGGTTCCAGAGTAAGATATTCTTGGATGGATCCTAATAGGACTTGTAATCCAAAGTTCAAAGTAGTAATTATATTTGTAATCGAAAGTCTTTAAAGGCCTGTAGAAGTTTAGATTCCTTAGATACATTGCTGGAGGTTGTGTTTGTAGGATACCCGGATGTTAGTTGTATAGTATTGATTGTAGAGTCCAGCTACCCAAATATGTGGCTAGAATTGGTTGCAGATATTCTATCAGCATCATCTATTATCACTGTGTTGATGGTGTTTGTATTTGGCTTTTGTTTTTGCTTACATAGTTACATAGTTACATAGATGAAAAGAGACTTGCATCCATCAAGTTCAGCCTACCTCACATTTGTTTTTTGCTGTTGATCCAAAAGAAGGCAAAAAAACCCAGTTTGAAGCACAATTTTGCAACGAGCTAGGAAAAAAATTCCTTCTTGACCCCAGAATGGTAGTCAGAGTTATCCTTGGATCAAGCAGTTATTACCCTACATTGAAAGATTATATCCTTGAATATTCTGTTCTTGCAAGTATGCATCTAGTAGCCGTTTGAACATCTGTATGGACTCTGATAAAACCAATTCTTCAGGCAGAGAATTCCACATCCTGATTGTTCTTACAGTAAAAAAACCTTTCCTTTGCCTTAGATGAAATCTTCTTTCTTCCAGTCTAAACGCATGGCCTCGTGTCCTATGTAAAGTCCGGTTTGTGAATAGATTTCCACACAATGGTTTGTATTGGCCCCGAATATATTTGTATAATGTTATCATATCCCCTCTCAGGCAACGTTTTTCTAAACTAAATAGGTTTAAATTTGTTAACCTTTCTTCATAGCCGATATGTTCCATTCCTTTTATTAATTTAATTATTAATTATTTTGTAGCCCGCCTCTGCACTTTTTCTAGTGCCATAATATCCTTCTTTAGAACAGGTGCCCAAAATTGCACAGCATATTCAATATGGGGTGTTACCAGTGATTTATAAAGAGGCAAAATGATATTCTTGTCCCGAGAATGAATGCCCTTTTTCATGCATGACAATACCTTACTGGCCTTGGCCACTGCTGATTGATATTGCACATTGTTGCATAGTTTGTTGTCTATATTCCCAAGTCCTTTTCATGTGTTGCTATCCCTAATTCGCTTCCATTAAGGGTATACGTTGCTTGTGTATTCTTTACGCCGAAGTGCATAACTTTGCATTTTTCAACATTAAATTTCATCTGCCATTTGAGTGCCCAGTCCCCCAGTCTATCTAAATCCCTCTGCAGCAAAGTAATATCTTGCTCACATTGTATTGTTTTACAAAGTTTGGTGTCATCTGCAAACACTGAAACATGACTTTCAATGCGGTCTTCAAGATCATTTATAAACATGTTAAATAGAAGGGGTCCCAGAACAGACCCCTGAGGGACACCACTTGCCACCTCTGTCCAGCTTGAAAATTTACCATTAATGACAACTCTTTGTACTCTGTTTTAAGCCAATGTTCTACCCAAGAACAAGCATTTTCATCTAGACCGATTTCCTTGAGTTTGAACACTAATCTATTGTGTGGAACTGTATCAAATGCCTTGGCAAAATCCAAATAGATCACATCCACGGCAACACCCTGATCTATACTTCTACTTACTTCTTCGTAGAACGCAATCAAGTTAGTTTGACATGACCTGTGCTTCATAAAACCGTGCTGATTTTTGCTGATAACCATGTTCTTCTCAAGGAATTCTTGAATATTATCCCTTAATAACCTTTCAAATATTTTACCAGCCACAGAAGTTAAGCTCACAGGTCTATAATTTCCAGTCAAGGATTTTGAACCCTTTTTGAATATAGGAACCACATCTGCCTTCCTCCAATCCTCCGGAACACTTCCTGAAAGAAAAGAATCTTGAAAGATTAAAAACAGAGGTTCACTTATTTCTGCACTTAGTTCCTTAAGTACATGTGGATGGATACCGTCAGGCCCTGGAGCTTTGTTTATATTAACTTTCTTTAGTTGCTGCAGCACCTTGTCTTGAGTTAACCAATTACAATTATTCTGCAAGTTTTTAGTAGCAATCATTTGCACATCTATTGCCATGGGTTCTTCCTTAATATATACGGAGGAGAAATAGTTATTTAAAATTCCTGCCTTTTCCTGGTCTTCATTAACTAACACCCCCGTTTCAGTTTTTAGTGTACCTACACTTTCATTTTGTTTTGTTTTTTAGAATTTATGTACTTAAAAATGCTTTGGGGTTGGTTTTGCTCTCTTCAGCTATCATTATTTCATTTTGAAGTTTAGCAAGTCTAATTGCCTTTTTGCACGCATTATTTGCATCCTTATATCTTTTATAAGATGCATCTGATTTGTCTGATTTAAATGCTTTAAATGCCCTTTTCTTAGTTGTAATCTCTTGTTTTACTTCTCTATTAAGCCACATTGGTTTTAATTTGTTTCTTTTATATTTATTTCCCAACGGTACATACTGAGAAATGTACCTTTCTAATATTTGTTGGAAGATGATCCATTTATCCTCAGTGTTCTTTTCACTAAAGAGTTTATGCCAGTCAATATATTGTAAAGCTTCCCTTAACTTATTGAAATTGGCCTTTTTAAAATTATATGTTTTAGTATTCCCCATGTGCTTTTGTTTTTTTGAGTTTATTTCAAAGGACACTATATTGTGATCACTATTTCCCAAGTGCTCACCTACTTGAATGTTGGTCAAAAGATCAACGTTGTTTGTTAAAACTAGGTCCAGACAAGCATCCATTCTAGTTGGTGCTTGTACAAGTTGTGACATGAAGGTGTCATTTAACAAGTTTAAAAACCTAATTCCCTTTGCTGAGGCACTAGTCCCTCTGTCCCAATTTATATCCGGGTAATTAAAATCTCCAATAATTAAAGTGTTACCCAGATTTGCAGCTTTCTCAATTTGCTCAAACAGCTGTTGTTCCTCGTCAATATTAACATTAGGTGGTTTATAACATATCCCAACCAATAGTTGGTTTCCCTTCTTTTCCCCCAAGCAGATATTTACCCATAAAGCTTCCACATTATCCTCCTCGCATTCCATTTGCTTAAAGGGATTTATAGGCACCCAGACCACTTCAGCTTAATGAAGTGGTCTGTGCCAGGTCCTTCTAGGGTT